TGGAACAGCTTGGCAGGCACACGTTCCACCGCCGGAAAAACTGGACGGGATTACGTTAAAACGTGTGACCACGTCACCGGTCACACATTCTAACGTAGTCACAACCTTTGATAGAACACCGCCATCAGGGGGGTATGGCCGGTACCCATGTGAGGGGTCTGGGGGGCCTCTTACATGGGTATCAACTGTACCGGGGCGGCATGGCAGAGGTGACAGGGAAGGGGGTGGAAGAGGCTGGGCCCCAGCAGCAGGTAAGAAGAGTTGGGAGGAGGTACAGGGAAAGGGATCCCGACGACCAGACCAGCCCACCTGGGACCCTGCAGAGCCCACCATAGAGAGTCTCAGGTGGGCTATGCAGGATCTATGGTGTGCTCTGCAGGGTCTCAGGTAAGTCCAGCACGCTACTGCAACATTAGAGACCGCTGGGGAGGGGGCGGGGGCCAGTGTGATCCACTCCCGCGCCCTCCCCGCCACCGCCGCCTTGGGAGAGGGGACCAAGATAAAATCTTGCATCAGGGCCCTTTGGTTATTAGGTCCGCCACTGACTCCCAGCACCCATCTGGTCAGTGTATGTTGGTGCTGGTTAGAGAAAGCTGACAAAATGGTGTAGAGAGAGGGTAAGGAGAGATACTCTGCTATACGAGGCTGTGCTGTGCTGTTCTTTACAGTGCTTTACTGTGTTTTACAGTGATATTATTCAGCACTGTGCTGTGGATTGCATTGGAGTAGGCTACATACCCATGTGCACCCATCCTGTGTTTGCAGTCCTATAGACCCAGCTATCCTCCTCAGGTGCTGGAATGAATAAACTCCTGTGCACATGCACACTCCCCCAGTCCACTCTGCTCTTAGCTGCTGTACATACCATTTCCCCTCGTCACTGAATGTGGACGGTTAAACCGGATGGCGTGGGGATGGGAGATGGCATTCACAGCAGCTAAGAGCATCAGGGAGACTGGGGGACTGAACTTGCCCTTTAAAAATGCTTGATGAAAAAGCATTTGTCGCTGCTGAAACTATTGAACCAAAAGCCTGTTTTTTAATTTGAAATAAATCAAAATAGGTCGCTGCTGTATGTTAGCCAAGCTAAGTGTACGATCCATTCCACAGCCAATTATGCACTGCTAAAATATATTGTCCCTGAGGCTGTCTATGAAAATCATTCTGCTTTTGTCAATCACACAGCTGTAACACAGCATTAAAAACAGTAATTTTGGATTTGTGTATTTTCAATGTTGCATTTGAAGCCGCATAAAAAAGGCCCGTTCCCCCCTACACAGCATTTTTTGTTTTTTTTTGGTATTGGTACATGTCCCCCATGGCAGTGCCCATCTCTCCATGCCTTTATGTTTGACATTAGTTGGCCCTCCAAAATGATTGATTGAATATCAAGGTGTTCTGAGCATTTTGTTAAGTTCGTTACCAGGTCTCTTTAAAGTGTTTGCCCAGCCTAGACTTTTGTTTTAAGCTGGCCATAGACCTTACAATCATCTGCAGATTTTCTGTGGTTCAGATGGAAAATGGTGCAACAGATTCCTCCATCTACTTAACTGTGTGGATGGAGTAATCTCCACCTGGGCCAATCTGTTGCACTTTTTCCATCTGAACACAGAAAATCTGCAGATAATAGTAAGGTGTATGGACACCTTTAAGGTGCCCATACACTGCACGATTCTCGTACGAGAATCACGGGAAATCCCGCGATCGTACGAGAATTGTGCAGTGTATGGAAGGCGTGCAACCGTTTCTACTGTACGGTCGCACGTCTTCCGTCGAACCAGCATGCTAGAAAACCTGCCGGGAATCGTACGATTCTCGGCGAGTTAGTGGCCTGCTGGTTCGACAACTGCCGAACGGGCCGGTGTGCGCACGCGCACACTGCCCGTTTGCAGTCATTGTAAGCCCGCCCCTCATTACAGTCATCGATAGCCCGCCCCTCAGGGGGGCGGGCTTGCGATGATCGACAGTACGATCTGCCTGTCCAAGATGGGCAGATCGTACGTTTTTTTAATCATGTTACAACCATCGCAAGACTAAGGTCTTGCGATGGTTGTACAGTGTATGGCGACCTTTAGAGAGAGAAAAAAGTTTAGGCTGGATATCTACTGTAATTCTAATTAATTGGTCTGGAATTGATTTTTATAGCAGATAATAATAGCAAAGACGTCCCTAGCGTATAGATCATCTTGTATCAAATTAATTATTTTGGTTCTTTTGTATTGTTTGAAAACATTATTGCTGCAACCAGAAATATCTCTAACCTGCCAAATGACCATTCCATCAGAGATCTCACAGCAGAGTCTGCAGGCCTATGAATAAAAACGAAGTCAGACAAAATGATGTGACAACTAACTCATATCTATGGCCATCTTTAGTCATGGTAAAAAGAGGATCTGAGTTTTAAATTGAAGGACATCTGTACTGAGAGCCATATGTTGGCTGTCATTGCTTGTCTCCCCTTCAGAAAATCCTAGTTACCTAGCTGTCGCTCTAATCTTTAGGCTTCAGTATTTTCTAAGGGACTAATCTGCAACTAGTATGCAGATCAGGACAACTTAACCTTTACTGAAGTAAACATGTAATAAATCCCCACCAACCCTCCTGAGTGCAGCCTACCAAGGATAATATTTACTTTCCTCCCCGTTCCAGCAATATTTCTTTCAACTTTGTCCCATCCAGCCCCTCTCCACACTGCACATGCATGCTGTCACCCCATTCATTCCTATAGATAACCTACTCCAGAGGACTATTGAAGGCTGCGAAGAGTACAGCTACCCAAAGGAATGCACAGGGCAGTATAAAGAGGAGCTTTTCAGAACTATGTCGGAGAAAAGATCACTGAATCGGGTAGGAAGATAATTATTATTTCAATTAGGATGCACACAGGTGGGTGGGAGAATTTGTTAACCACTTGAATCCCAGCTGCCCTGTGTGGCAGCTGGGGTCCAGTGTTAAGTGCAGGAGCTCCTGGGCTTCCAATGGATCTACGGCGTGCTCCATAGGAGCTGCTAAATAAGGGAATGTAAACAGAATGAAGGGAATTGATCAAAACTGGAGCAGAAAAAATCTGGAGCAGCTGTGCATGGCAACCAATCAGCTTCTCTCTTTCATTTTCAAATCTTAACTGAACAAACTGAAGGCAGAAGCTGATTGGTTGCCAAGCACAGCTGTTCCAGATTTTGTCTGCTCCAGTTTTGATAAATTCCCCACAATGCTTACGCATTCTTTTTTTTTTATTATTCTTTTTTTATAAATCAAAATTTTTCAGTATAAGCAAAAAATAATGCAGAACAAGGGATTGAGAACATAGAAGGAAATGATCAGAAGAGATACATCAAAATCAGTGTTTCACATCAGATTAATCCGTAAAAGACCTGACTGCGACTGTGAGACACAGTAAGCAGGATCAAGGTACCCTGAGTGAGTCAATCATGTATCACATAAGTCATGGCATGGACGAAAAAAAAAAAACCAGAAAAAACCACAAGAAATCGGTAGGTATATACAATAATGAATTGATTGTAATATGGCAACTGAGATTGTTATAATCAATTATGGGCAATCGAATGTGAAACGCCAAAAAGATCTTGCAGTACAGGGGAGGGTTAAACCAAAAAGGATAAAAGAAGAAAGAATAGAAGAAGGATAGAAGAAGAGAGAAAGAGAAAAAAAAACGGATTCTGTTTTACATCGGGAATATAGTGATATCATGAGTGATATCAAAGAACTTCCTGAGTACGGAGGCCAGGGCAGAGCCTCTCCATTCATCAATAGGACCCTGCTATTGTGATCTATTGCTGGCTGAAAAAAAGTTTTTTTTTAAACTGACAGTAAACAGTATATACAGTATAGAGAGAAAGAGAGACATAGAGAAAGAGGGATTCTAAAAATAAATATATTCCCTCCCCAGATTAATACCCAGGTGAATGCAATGTCTTTGTTTTAAAGACACTCAGAACATTAGTATTCTAAAAAAATCTAAAAATCCTTTTTTTGTTTTGGATAGCAAAGCTTTTTTTTTTGCTGTATGTGTCCATGCTGGGGAGATCCATCTCTCCATTTGCACTGGTGACCATTGTCACCAAGACATAAACAAAAGAGAAATCCAAAAAGAACAAGAATAAAAGGAGAAGGGGAAATCCTACAATGTTCCTTGACAACTCTCTAAAATGGGATTTCACCTTGTTGCTCCTCCAGGACAGGAAGTAAAGGGAAATCTCCCCAACAGGAAAAAGGTAGCAAAAAATAATCTCATGGGGATTTTAACCCTTCCCTGCCCTATCTAAAACTTAAAAAAGTAGGCTTTACACACACTTGAAAAACTGGATTGATGTGATACTGGAGGGCTAAAATGCATTTTTCTAACACCATGTGCAAAATAATCTGTGCTGATCTTTCTTGATGAATAACTGCAGTCCTCTTTTAAATCTGCGGATATAGGTTTCTTCTGCCACCTATTAAGAAAAATATATGAGACAAAAGGGAATTGGTGTTGACGAATGTGTAATACAACAAGGCAATTTCAAAAACTCTTTCACATCCCTGTGACCATAAAATTATCAAGGGCCAAAGGTCTTTAAATGCCATTGACATTATGCTAAAATGTCTACACCGACATTCTAGATCTGCATAGAGCTGAAAGATATGACCTGTGACCTTTCAGAATTCTGCAGGAGATTTATCGAACTTATTTGCATTTAAATGAGATGACTGGTCTTCTGTTAATTAAAATGGCTACAGCTGTTTCCACTGTGTTAACCCCTTCCTTTCTCCCCTTTTTTTTGGATTGGAACGGTGCCAGTAAAGATTTGGTACATAAGGTGCTGTAAGGTCAATAAGAGAAAATGAATATTAAGATGGAATTAACTGAACATAAATCTCTTTACAGTTACATAGCTAATGACTTAGATATGGAATCTGAGCGTCATTGGCCAATCCACTAAATATAGAACTTGCTTAAAGGATGTAGGTTCATTTTTTTTTCCTTTCTTCTATTTCAGGACCATTAAGTGAAAGATGGGCAGCACAAAAGGAGCCCACGAAGAATTGGAAGTGCCACACCACGTAATTCAAGATAACAAGGTGCCCCATGCAGTACAAGAAGATGCAGTTCACATTCCTAAAACAGATGCAATAACTTTGACCTCTTCAGTGGTCCAAATGGAAATGCCTGCTCTACACCAGGTGCCAAGCAGCCCAACGGTTCACAATGAAGTCTGGAAGAAAGGGGGTCGCTTGTTGTCTGCACTGCTGGCCATTAATGTTGGTCTGATAGCCTGTGTTCTTGTTAGCAGTGGCTCCTTAGAAGAGGTCATAGTACAGGACACAGAAGTCCTTGCCTTCCTTGTTTTTCTAATGCTGCTCTCCACTGTCTGGATGATATTCCAATTTTACTTCTCATGCCGAAAAAATGCAGTTCTCTATAAAGATTCCCATGCAGGACCGGTGTGGCTGAGAGGTAATAAGGCTACAGAAATAAATATTCTTCTACTGCCATTTATGTTACTATTCTTCCTTCTTCTCCTTCTACTACATCTGCATCTACCCCTAAACCCACTACTATTATAATTTCTTATACTACTTATACAATTATTACCAATATGAATACGTGTGTATTAACACTTTGCTGCATGCATTAGTCAAGCCTTCCAATGGTTCTTACAAAACTAGACTTTCTATTGCAGATGCATGTATTCCTATATTTGTAAATAGACATCCCACATACATTATTCTTAATTATGTTGTTAGTATTAGGTTAGTATTACTTCTTTACTGTTACAGCTTTATTGGCAGGTTTCACCTTGCCAATGGTTGAATGGTATCGACCTAAGGCTAGCCATAGACCTATCAATTTCTTCCGTTCAAACTGCAGGCTGAATGAAAGAAATTGACGCGATTCCTCCATCAACACAAACAGAGTGTCAATCGATATATCGCCGCTGTTTGCATTGTATTCTGACAGGTGCCGCCGGCACCTTTTCAGAATACCCGATCAGAGCGGGCAGCTCATTGGCTGCCAGCTCTGATCGCACAAAGATTTTCCAGCAGGCTCCTTCGATTACTTGATTGAGGAATGCTGGCTGAAAGGGAGCCAACAGCCACACACGTTGTATGAGTTTCAGCCGGTACATTAAAAACCCGCCGAATTTCGTCCAGCGTATGAGCACCTTAATGTTCCCTGGGATCTGTGGTTAGTCCAATGCCTGTCAGTAATGTATGGTTAGGACAAGCATTTAGGTGCAGTTAAGTGCTCACCATTCATCTGTGACTAGAAAAGGTAATGCATTGTTTACTGTTATGATGGAATAAGTATGAGGTTTATCAACCCAGTAAAGCTTTCCCATTCCAAAATAACATACTGGTGTGATTGAGGGAATAATCACAGCACACCTATTGAATTGGAGGCAGGCAAAGCATTTTAGGGTCATGGCTTGATAGTGATACGCATGCAGGGGGTTAAATAAAATGATACGGTCCTCTAAACAAACCACGCTGACTTGACAAATCATAGGCAAGAAACTGGCAATCCTGACAACACATGAGCAGCTTATAAGTAACCGCGACAAATACTTAGGCAACAAACATTACTTGTGGCAAGATGCAGACCGCAAGTGGGCAACTGTTACAATATGTGGGCAACGAATGGACATTTATAACAATATTCAGGCAATGACAATAATGGTGACAAAACCTGGAGCCCAGTCTGGCTCCCTCCCACTTCCTTTACCTTTATTCTTTAGATTTTCTATCTCTCTCTGATCATATACATCCTCACTGGCCAGAAGAAATTCAAAGTGGAGAGAGCAGAGCTTGCAACTCTTCCCAGCTATCTCCTCTTGTATAGTCCAGGATTGACCATCCGGTCCCTGTGTGATTGTAAAAGTGACAATGACATTGCTGCTTCAGCACGCCCTTGCCGGACCCAGAGACCCGGTCATTTTTTGGATTAGCCAGGATTTTTGGCTCAAATCTGGATAGTCCCCACCTATCTATGGAAATATATGGAGTGGTTGACTCTGACATAGGAATATACAAATAGTATTAAAAAAAATTGCTGGCTGGAGTTGGCTTTGACTTTAATAAATGCAATTGTCTTTTCCTAGAAAGTACTAACTGCAGTAGCACATTATCTTACAATTATTATTCCTATGCATTTAAACCCTACATTACAAACTCATTTCACTTTTTTCCATTTTCAAGCATTGTACGTCTAAAAATAGTAAGATACTTAGGAGTTTAAAGTCTGGGCAAATAAAGCTTAACCCTTGCAGTGGGGCTACCCCTAGACCGCTCCCTTCAGCCTGCCTCCCAGTTCGCTCCAGCATTGGAATATCCGTCGGCGTCCTCACATCCTATACACTGTATAGGACGTGATGATTCACATGACCTTAGACGGAGTGGAGCGTGGCGCGAGGCTGAAAGGACGGGTCTAGGAGCCAAAATGAGGGCTAGCCCCACTGCAAGAGTTAAGATCTTATTTGCTCAGAGTTCTTCTTTAAATGTAACATATTCACAAAGGTATATCACAAGATATGTGCTAAGAGTGCCGAGTCAAAAACCGATCCAATAAAGTACATTTAAAGGGTTATTAAGCCATAAAAAATTTTGCATATATCTCCTGCTAGCAAGCAGGAGATATATGCAAAAACTTTTTTTTTTAAAACAAAAACCTTTTGAAACAGGTTAAAACTTACCTGTGTCTTCGACGCACGCTCCCGTCACAAACATCTGAAGAGTCTCGGGCAGCTGCAAAGGATCTTGGGGCGGACGTATGCGCAGTTCAGATGTTGATGCCTGGGAGACGAGGAGAGACGCAAGGTAAGTCTATGGAACAGCGTGCACCCGCACAGACTCCGTGGGACATCAGAGAAGAGGAGGACAGAGGAGTCAGAGCTGGATCAGAGACCCACACCAACGCTGGAGGGACAACTGAAAAGGACAGTAAAGAAGAAGATGATCGGATTAAGAGATTTTATACCACTATTTAGATATTGGGTTACTACAACAAATGAATTGATGTATGATATTTTACATGTATTAGTAATTTGAAGTAGCACTAAAATGAGCAACTGAAGTATGTTAACGCCAGCTCCATTCTAATTTCAGCACCAGAATCTCAGCTTTAGTTTACTTGAGCTCTGAGTGTGTGCCAAATAATTATCACTTCCCAAACCATACCTATGAACAAGAACTATAGAGATTGGTTGGGTCAGATAGATATTTATAACTTAGTAATTGTCTTTCCCACACTGATTACTGAACCTCCTTAACAGACAGAAGCAATCAACCCACTGGGCTTAGGGAAGACCTACAGAGCCTAGAAAAAGTTAAACAAATGCTCAGACTGGATATCGCCTAGCAACAAACACACTAATTTAATTAGGGGCACAACACCATAGGGCCAGGCCCCTACACTTCACTAATGTATACATCAAAGTGCTAATACATAATAAAAGTGCATTTATTAAAATGCATAATTATAACATTTAAATTGCTATGTTAGTAAAAGTTTGCTCTAATGCCAGACCTAGTAGTACAGTCTCATCTTTCTTTCACTTCCTCACTGCTGTTTGACGGCTGGGAGTGAAGAAATATACCCAGTACTTTCAGTTATGGGGGGGCATGTGATGTGACATCGATGGTGCTTGGTTATTGGTCACTCAGGAGAGAGATTCCTCAAACAGTCTAAGTTCCAAGTTGTGATTCAGAGCAAGGCTACAGAGAAAAAGGACATATGTATACCCAGCTGGTGGGCCCACAATTAAAGTGAGCCTGTTGCTTTTCACCGCCTGGACAACCCACTGGTTCAGTTTAAACCTACCAATTTTATTTAATTCATAACAAAACAGTTAGGTGGTTCTTATTATAGGCTAATAATGCCGGATTTTACTACCTTATATCATACATGTTTTAAAAAATAATAACATACTTAAAGTGTATGTAGGTAAAAGTTTTTTATATTTTGGAGAGTAAACAAAGGCTAAAACTGAACTCCAGACACAACCCCGCCATACAGCACAGCCCTGTCTAGTAGGAGAGGAGAGATGATCTTTCTATGCTGCATTTTCACTTTCACTTACAAGTCCTCTCTCCACCACCGCCTTGTGACAGGACATTGAAAAGAGCAGTGCAATGATTAGTTTCCCGCTCTGTCACTCCGCTCTCTCCTCCTATCGCTATATTCCTTGCACACCTGAATGCTCCTTGTGCTGCCTTTCAGGTACCTACACTGATTGCATTTAAATAAATATGTTTTAATGAAGTATCATTGATTATAAAGTTTCATTAATTGATGACTTTTATATCTGCCTGAAGTTTAGCTTGAAAACCCCTGACAGTTTAATTTTTTCTGTCCGTGTCCTATTGGAGAGATTTTTCTTCACTTCCTGCCTCAGAGAAGCAACAGGAAGTGAGAGGAAATCTCTAGGGGGGGGGGGAATTCACCCCTTAGACCATTGTCACTGAAACAGGTATCCTTAGAGAAGAAACAAAAAACAATACCGGCGCCTACCTGCGAAACGGCCAGTTGTAATGATAGTGGACACACTGTAGAGGCAGATCCCACGGGTCTATGGAGACCGTCAATCTGAGAAACAAAGAACGAAGAAGGGCGCCTCCATAGTGTAAAAATGAAATCTAATGATAAAATACACAGCCTGTATTGTACTTACAAAAAAGTCGGTAGTAAAAAGGCATAAAGAAATCGATAGGATATCGAATCATCTAGCAGCGGAAGTCTGAAAGGATGTGTAGCATCAGCGTCCACTGCCCCTGTGTAGTCAAAGGTTAACGCGTTTCTGGGGCACGCCCCCTTCGTCAGAACCTGATAGAACTCACCTAAACCCAGCTCTTAAATGTATAAGACTGACCTATCACAGGCGATCTCAAGATGAGTCACAAAAAGCATTAGGACCAGTTGTCTGTATTGTAATTAGTGTTGTAATTATCGCTGAAGTTCATCTAAAGAGGACAGTCAGCTGATAAGAATAAATTGGTAATCAGCATAAAGAGTGTTCTAGTTTGGTGTCTAAAAACACAGCATTATTTAAAATAATACATCTAGGAGACCTAAAACTAACCTCAGAATCTTAGTAAAGCCACTCAAGATCGCAAGGCAGTGTGAAAACACACAGGTAGCTGAGCGTAAGTACTTTTTGTAAGTACAATACAAGCTGTGTATTTTATCATTAAATTTCGTTTTTTTTACACTATGGAGGCGCCCTTTTTCGTTCTTTGATCCTCAGAGAAGAGTCTTTTTCACTTGTTCTGGTGGCAACTCTAAGGGTCCATTCACACCAAAATTGGACCGAAAATGTAAATCAACGGAGGTCCCTTGACTTGTCATTTCATCCGTTGACTGCCAATCCATTGCATTTTTTTTTGCCAATCTTTATTTTAATTAACATGTCCTGAGCAGAAAAGCTATGTATCTTTTAACTTTCCGTTCCGTTGACATCCGTTTTTGACGTGTTGAGTTAAGTTGCCCTGAAAAAAGGTGTGCATGCTCTACTTTTTTCAGCGCATTGCAACGTAACACAATGCAATGCAGCAGTGTGAACTGGTCCCATTCACACCCATAGACTTCTTGGGTTACCTTCCATTGGCGTCCGTTGAAAATTGGATGCTAACGGTGTGAATGGGTCCTAAGGGCTTGTTCTTACCTGAAGCCACACTCAACAACAAGGGACCCAACTATGGGCTCACCACAGTGCAATGCGGCTGTACCGTGTCTCACTGCAGTGCACTTCAAAAAAGTACTGCATGTGGTACTTTTTTTAAGTGCACACCACCGGAACGCAGTGGTGTTAACTGCCACCATCCATGACATGGCAAATTGCCTTGTCTTGCTTTGTGCAACGCTGGAAAAAACAGCAAGTTCATTGGTTTTCTTCTTTTTTTCACAGGTGGTCTGGTGTTTTTTGGGATCTGCAGTCTGGTTTTAGACGTATTTAAGATTGGATATTACATAAGCTATATTGATTGTGAATCACCAATTAAACTCATTCATCCTATGGTGCAGAGTGCCTTCATCATTCTCCAGGTAAATGTCTTAGGATGTCTCCCTTAATCCTGTCATGCATTTCTAAGGTTTGTCTTCTGGTTTAACCGCCTCCCGGCCGGCCGTTCTGGGAAAATGGCCGACCGGAGCTTCCTGGATGTGACGGCTTGTGACGGCGTCTAAAGACGGCTTGTTGGCCCCGCCCACTCGCGCAAGCTGAAAACTGCCCAAATTTAAAGACAGGCAGCGATGCCTGTTTAGATACAAGCGATCCGCCGTCTCTATAGCCAGCACATCACTTGTATAACGTGCCAGTCTGTGCGCCCCCCCTCCCGCTGGTTCCGAGCTCTGCTGTGCCTGGTGCGAGCCCGGGACCAGTATGGTGGCTCTGTGATAGGGGATCAGAGGGAGGTCGGTACACGACCTCCCTCCGATCCCCTCTCCGGTGTCAGAATGCGAAAGTGATGTATATTACATCACTTCCACATTCTTGTGTCACTCTCCAGCTTCAGAAGCTGGAGAGAAACTGATGAAGCAGATCTCTAGTCGCCTATGGTCAATTTTGGGTATGGTAGTTTTTTGCAATTTCGCGGGTGCGCACAATCTTAAGGCTTGACTTGTTTGGTGTCTATTTACCCGACGTGACCCCGTCTTTTATATTTGACCAAAAACATGGGTAGTAATAATTGTTTCCTAACATAATGTAAAACATTTTTTTTTCAACATTTACAGTAATTTTTCCTTAATATAGTAAAAAATAAAACCCCAGTGGTGATTAAATACCACCAAAAAAAGCTCTATCTGTCCCCAAAAGATGGTATAAAATTAATTTCAGTACAGCGTTGCATGATGGAATAAATGTCAGTCAAAGTACTGCAGCGCTGAATACTGAAAAATGGCCTGGACAGGAAAGGGGTGTACACCTCGGTCTTCAAGTGGTTAAACAATGTATTTTCACCTTGTCAGATTTGCTTCTCATGTTAAAAATGTTTTGTGTGATATACATTTTGTTATATATTTCAGACATATTTTCTCTGGGTGTCCAGCAAACACTGTGTTCAGATTCACACCAACATTTCCAGGTAAATCTATCCTTTGCTAACAAATATCCATAATACATTCATTTTCTACACTGTAACTTTTATCAGTTAAAATAGACCTAACCCCAATCATTAAAGGGTAAGTTTGCTTTGTCAAAAATTGTGACAAAATAAACTTGCCCACAGAACCCTGCCACTTCCCTAGGTCCCTGCTGCGCATACAAGTGCCCATTAGCTGGTGCAGTGGTCCTTACAGCAGACTTCCCAGCCACACTATGGAAAGCTAAACACGCTCATAAATGGTGAGGGCTGATTTGTCAGCATGGTCATATGACCATGCTAACCAATAAAAAGCACCTCTTACTTCTGGGACCTTGTCCCCAGCTCAGAAGCACTTGTCATTGGGCAGCATGGTCATGCGACTGTGTTGACCAGTGAGCGTTTGCAATTTGCAAGCCTTATGAGCATTCGATAGTGCGTGGTGGTGAAGTACAGTGTATGGTGTACGGACCACTACACCGGCTGGCGGGGACTTCAGATGAGTAGTTGCAGCGGGGACCGGGGGAAGTGGCAGGGTACTGTGGGTAAGATTACTTTTTCACAATTTGTGAGAAAGTGAAGTTACCCTTTAAAGTCTTATATAAGCTTTAATATGTGACTGTAATTTCTAAATCTGGTTTCAGTCTTCTTAAATTTGCAGCTTTAGTTATTATAATTCCTGGTCATCTGACCATAAAGGTCTTTGTTCATGCACTTCCTGTTATGAGATGACAACTGTCCCCAATTGTGTTCCTAGGTTGCCACCCTGTCACATGCTTCCCAAGTTGAGATTACAAGTAACTGTGGCAACACCCCTTATACAAGCTTAGTCCATCATTGCCTGTCTAGAGCAATGATGTGCAGCTAACACTGGAGAAAGTGTTTGTAGACAGGAAAAGGTTGAAAAATACCAAAGATCAACAGGACTGAGATATGGGAAAGGGTAAAAACATTATTTGATGAAAACAAAAATGGCAGGTGTTAGTGATACACAGAGGGGACTTTATCAAAACGGGAGCAGACCAAATCTGAAGCAGCTGTGCATGGCAACCAATCAGCATCCACCTTTCATTTTCAAACCTTAAGGCTGGGTTCACACCTAGGCATATTGAATATGCCCGTCTGTCGCGCTTTTTTTTTTACCGCGCTGCGCGGTGAAAAAAACGCGCGACAAACGCGCGTTTCCGAGGGCTACTTGGCTGTATCCCAATGGAAACGCCCAACAAAAACGGCCCAAAGAAGTACATGTACTTGTTTGAGCGTAGGCCGTTTTGTAGGGCGTTTCAGACGGGCGGAAATACGGAAAGGTGTGAACCATACCCATAGAAAACAATGGGATTTTCATGTTTGTACGTTTTGTAGAGCGTTCATAGAGCCTTGAACGCGCGACAAAACGTAAAGGTGTGAACAGGGCCTTACTGAACAAACTGAGGAGAGAAGCTGATTGGTTGCCATAAGCAACTGCTCCAGATTCTTCTGCTCCAGTATTGATAAATCCCCCAACTAAGGGGTTGATTTACTAAAGGCAAATAGCCTGTTCACTATTACTATGTCCACCTATGCTCCCCAGCTCCATCAAGTAGCCATGATGTATTATTATTACAATAAACTACATTCAAACTGGGCAAAACAAAATATATATTAGGAACATTTATCAGGTTAATTTGGTTTATGGCATTGTTCACACCAAATGAACATTCACAGATACTGACTGGGCAAAGGGCCCTGTGAATTGTTTAAAAATAGACCCTAGTGTCTATGTAGAGATAGAAGAGTGGAAGCACATAAAATAAGTTTATTTTTTGAGGTTTACATGCACTTTAAATTTTTATTCTGACAACACAATCGCTTTAAGTCTTTATGAATGGATTAAGTGGATGAATAGTTATAGGGAGGAAAGCCTGCACTGCTTACCTTCATGCCCCTGTGACTCTCATTAAACTCTGTGGATTGATTGGATAATGATAGAAGTGATACATGTTATGATGATGTTGATATTAGATATTAGTGAATTGTATGTTAAAAAATCTTTACTACAGATATGGCCTTATGTTGGTACTTATAACCAACCTCAGTATCTGGATGGCTGCAGTAACAGATGAGTCTGTTCACCAGACCCGAGACTTGGAGGATGATTTAAAGGAGTTGACTAGCACAAGTGGATACCATGAACACAGAGGTATGAGGTGAATATATTAGGAAAACCAGTTGAAGAAACTATTTTCATCATGTAATTGATTTGTGCTTCTTTTTGTAGATTCTAATGGAGCACATGGTCATACCTGCCGCTGCAGTAATCATTTGTGCCACATCTTTCAGACGGGATATTACTACCTTTATCCATTCAACATAGAGTACAGCCTGTTTGCTTCAGCCATGACATATGTTATGTGGAAGAACGTTGGACGACAGATGGATGACACCATGCCTTGCCACCATCGTCTTAGCCCATGCTTCTGCTTTCATAGTATTTTTGTGGGCCTTATCATGGGATGCATAGTCCTTCTTGGTGGAATTGTGGCTCTTGTTACATACAAAGTTAAAGTAAACCTAGCAGATAAAAGCTACAAGGCCCATATTATGTTCTATTCATTTAACATTGTGGTCCTCAGCCTTATGTCCATGGGCTCACTCGCTGGGTCAATCATATACAGATTTGACAAAAGACACATAGATGGTCAAAAAAATCCAACACGTACTTTAGATGTTGCCTTACTCCTTGGCGCAGCATTGGGCCAGTATTGTATATCCTACTATTCAATAGTAGCCATGGTGGCTACCTCTCCAGGGGAGCTACTCAATGTTTTGAATCTTCTTTACTCTCTCCTTATGATCATACAACTTACACTACAGAATACATTTATTATTGAAGGGCTTCATCGAGAACCATTCACAGATGAGGCTATGGAGCCACCAAAAGAACTTATCTACTCAAATGAGGCGGTAGTTCCTACACTGCCTGATGGAGTACCTCAGGAATCCACAATACCTGTAACAAACAACGTTGAGAATACAATGCACACGTCAGAAAATCAAACATGGAATCTGAAAAGAAGACTCGTTCAGGAAATATCACTTTTTCTACTGCTATGCAATGTTATAGTAAGTGCTGATAAAGTTAATTTCTAACTTAAAAATGTAGGCCTTAACTGGTAAATTGACAACCATTTTTTGAGAGGTATCTGATGATATGTACCATATGTTCTCTAAACGTCTGTAAAATGTTTAGACTTTACCGTTGCTTCAAAGTGTATGTATAGCCAAAATCTTTCAGTTTTGGATAAAAGAAGGAAGGGGAAAACCTCAGTCAGTGTATTTTTTGCTAATTGTCTCATTAGGAAACAAGAAAAAGCTACAAAATTAGGGGAATTCCCCTCTTACACACTGTCACCAGGAGCAGGTGTCCCCATTGGAAGATACCCCCTCAACTTTTGTTCTGAAGACAATTGGAAAATATTTGATTTACCATCGGTTTCTGTGACCAGGGCTGGTGCTAGACTATTTTGCGCCCTAGGCAAGACCAGCAACCTGCACCCCCCAGCCCCCCTTCCACTGCGCAGCCCCATTCTCCTGCCGGCTAGTTTCCGCATCAACAGGAAGATGTCATTTAATTTGAAATAGTCAATAGCAGGCTGGCTATTAAAACTCCACCCACTGAGCAGAGGAACGGACCTGAGAGAGGAAGTTGTCTCTCAGTTCCGCGCCTCTTCTTAGTGGGTGGGTGCAATAGCCAGCCTGCTATTGGCTTTTGCAATTTGAAATATATGGGGGGTGCAGTGGTGGGGGTGGGGGGTGAGTGGTCGGGGCTGCGCCCTAGGCGGCTGCCTAGTTTGCCTAGTGGTAGCACCGGCCCTGCCTCTGACAATGGTCACCAAGACAAGTAGAGGGAAGACACAGACAGCGATACAAAATTGAGGGTCTAATCCTTTCCCTTCTTTATCCAGAACATACAAAACATTTTGGGATACACTTAGACTAATAAAGTAGTAACCTTTGCAACAACCTATATATAACCTATGCAAATGTGGTACTAGTTTGGCATAAGTGGGAATAGGGAACTCAATGGTATATTTGATATAGGAAACTAGATGATGTAAAAGTATAGTGTTGTATCTGTTAGGCCTGACACAGGAACAACCTGTGAATGGCCAGGTCAGTTTAAAAGAGAAACTATAATGATTTTGGTTAAATGTTTTTCAATTGTTTATAACTTGATAAACTAAACATTAATGTCATTTATTTGCATTACCTGGATAAAATCTACTATAAAAACTTAATTTTGCAAATAAGCTTTTAATACAGGATGTTTCCATAGCACTGCTGGAGTAGAGATAGTAAGGGGTGTGTGTTCCTCTTGTGATCATTCAGCTGGGTGTGTGCTATAAACAGCTCAACAGCAGAGGATCAAAATATAATCACTTTACTACATACAAAAGAAAAAAAAAACCTGGAAAATGCGCAGTCAGCGAACTTTATTTTGTAAACATTAATAGAGTAACTACATAGACAATAAAGTCCCTTTAAAGAAGACCTGTCTGTTAACAAAACTACCCCCTCTCTATCAGGCATGCACCTTTGCCCTAACTTAGACCCCATTCACACTGAGCTACATAAAAAAAGCGTTTTTTCAGCGCTGATTTGAGCTGAGCGACTTTGAGAGACATTGAGCTACAGTTGCACATATTGTCGCGCTACGTAGCGCTACTTTTGGCATGGCAATCAAAAGCGGTCTTGATGTGACATAATTCCTTCCTGTTTCCTGCTTATGTTCCTGCTTATATTTCTGTGTAAAAGTGACACTTCTGTAGCGCGACATCGAGCTACACCATTGAAGTCTATTCGGCCAAATTGCATGAAATCCGCCGAAAAATAGGTCAAGTTCAAGCGTCAAGCTTGAGCTACAAGCTACAGGCGACATTGAGCTGTGAGATGTGAACACCTCCATTGAAATGCATTGGACAAGCTACATTGAGCTTCATTGAGCTTATGTTTGAGGGTACGTTCACACCAGATGCAGTGCATTCCGGTCCGATTCTGGCCGGAACGCACTGCATCGCATTGCGGCCAGCTCACCTTTTTGTGGGGCAGGAGGGGGCGTGGCGGGTCATTGAAGTAAGTGGCACCGTAGCCAGCCACCGCGGCCAGAATCACGCTACAAATCGCTCAGTGTGAATGGGGTTTAACCCTTAGAGCTTTAACTGACCCTTAAAGAAGCACTGTGGGAAAACCTTTTACATCTAGGGACTAAAATAAAAAAGTTATACTTACCCGAAGTTGCTGCCTATTATAGGGGCAGCCCTGGTTGCCAGTAGCGAACTATTCCATCTCATTTTTTTTAGGTCTCTGCTTCATCAGCTTTTTGGGGGGTCTCTTGGTGACATTAGGGGTCCTAAAGACCCCTGATGTCTCCATAAAGAGGACCTGTCACATCTTCTTTGCTATCACATAATGGGCTTCTTATCCCCCTATATGATAACAATAAAGTTAAGTGAAAAAAAGTTTAAAAAAAAGTAAAGTCACACATAAAAAAAACACAACAAAAATGTTACCGTCCCCCGCCCCCACATACACACGTAAACATGCGTCGGGTACGCCTACATGTGAAAACAAAAATTGCGCCCGTTACAGCACACATGTTACATATCACAGCGAATGTCAGAGCGTGAGCAATAATTCTAGGGCCATCAATCACTGATAACACTAAACTGAAAATGTCACCTATGGCCAATTTTGGGTATTGTAGTTTTTCCGATTTCATGGGCGCGTGCACATTTAAGGCTTAACATGTTTGGTGTCTCTTTATCCGACGTGACCCCGTCTTTTATATTTTACAAAAACATTGGGTGATAATGTTTCATAACATAATGTAGGGAAAACTGGGTTTTTCTCAAAATTTTGCTAATTTTTTCTTAATAGAGTAAAAAAAATAAAAAATCCAGCGGTGATTAAATACCACCAAAAGAAAGCTCTTCTGTCCCCCAAAAATGGTATAAAATTAATTTCAGTACAGTGTTGCATGACGGAATAAATGTCAGTCAAAGTACCACAGCGCTGAATAAGGAAAAATGTGGTTAAACAACGTATTTTCACCTTGTCAGATGTGCTCCTCATTGTTAATGAGGAACTGAAGATCATACGCCATGCTCAAAAAAGGTGAGCAGAAGGCAAAGGACTAACCTGTTTTGCTTGTCTCTCTTATCTGTGTAAAAGAGGTAAATGAGAAATGTTTTTTTTACCTAATGCTATAATTTAGGTATCTGCTACTGGTTATCCCAGAATTTAGAATGTAATTTTCCAGATTAAGGATCATTATGTCTTTTAATTAACCTTATGTCTTTTATCAATCTATTCACAGCTTTGGCTCATGCCAGCCTTTGGTGCTCGTCCTCAGTTAAAGAATAATCTCGAGTTGAGGTTCTATGGACCTACAGTATGGACTATAATCACCAATATCAGCCTTCCCTTCGGCATTTTCTACCGCATGCATGGAGCTGCCAGTCTTTTGGAAGTATTCAGGATGTCCTAACGCATGAAAGTCTGAGAGCACACAAAAAAATAATAATATAAAAGATATAGAATACACCCAGATTGTACAATGGAACATGTAGAAATATCTAAATGGGAAGAATGAAGAAACTCGCGATTGAAGGAAACACATAAGACAATATTTCAGCTCACCGTGTCCTAATAGACAAACTGTAACTATGAAATATATTTATTCTGATGTGTTTATAGTCAGTGTAGCCGATTTGTTGTTTTTTTTTCTGTAAATTTTGGGTAATCCATAAAAATGGACGAAAAAAAATGACGATTGCAAGCAGTGACGTTCCTAGCCTCTTTGCCCTGAGGTGGGAGGGATTGTGGTGCTGGTGCACGCTAACAGGGGAGGGACTGGCTGGCTTGGGGATATGCCTCTGCATTATCTTCCCGCCAGCTCTGGCTCTGTCTCTGGCCAGCGTCCCGCCCAGCTCCTGTGCAGTGATGGTTACTGCTTGCCAAGAGCTGAGTGGGCTTGCCAGCCAGAGTTTCCCATGTTGGCCTTACACATCTCCCCGCCCAGCTCTTAGCAACCTGAGATGCTCTGGCCTGGAAAGGGGGCAGCAGGTACACTGCAAACATTGAGGAGCAGAGTGACCATGCTGCTCTGACTGCCATTCCCCAACGTGACCCAAAGAGATGCCACCTGAGGCAACAGCCCCAGGCTGCCTATTATAGGGACGGTCCTGGTTGCCAGTAGCAAACTATTCCATTTAAAACATTTTTAGCTTTGAAAATGTAATGGATAATCTAATTGTTTTTTTTTTTTTAAAGGAACATTTACAGTGTTCCTTTTCACACTGTTTTTACATCAGACATGTAAATCTTCTATTGCACTATGAAATTAACTTGATCAGTGCACCAGTGCATCACTATCGGCTGCTGAGCCTTTACTGCAAAATGTAAATCCGGACGAAACTAACCTGGGCCCCTTGTCTGGTGTATTATGCACTTTTAGCATATTTCTTCAGTATACTCTAGCCAATAGTAGCGGCAGAGGTGGTACTGCACACATAGATAACAGTGCAAAGGCCATGATTCTTAAAAAGGAATTGACCTTTACATTAAAGTTAAGATTAGTCCCCATTTCCCGGGGAAGTCCCTGTTTTGACAGGTCTGTCCCCAGGAAATAAACATCCCTGCCGGCATCCCCAGCTACAGTGAACTGCAGTTATATACAGACAGTTTTGTACATGCTGTAATGGCTGCCTCTAGGACCCTGCGTCACTTACTACTGACCCCTGAACCCTTCATCACCTACTACTGACTCCTGAATAGACTTGTGCGCTGTCAAAAAATTAGTTCTGTTTCGTTTCGTTTTGGAATATCCGTTATTTCGTATTTCGTAATTCGTAACTGAACTCAATTCGGATTCAGATTCGTACGAAATACGAATTTTCGTTAGTGGCGGTTATATTTTCGTACCTTTACGAACATTCGTTATGATGAAGTTAAAAAGCAAAATACCTTTGTATTGGAGTGGTATTTCGGATTTAAAAAAAAACTACCATCAATCAACTCCAATATATTAACAAAGGTATTTTGCTTTTGAACTTCAATATAACGAATGTTCGTAATGGAACGAAAATACGTCAACGGAATTTCGTATTTCCTGCCTGTATTTGTAATGCAACTCTCAGCAGCAGAAGAGAACCTCCGATTGGTCAACCAAAACGAAATACGAATTCCGTTAACGGATTCCGTATTCCGAATTCCGTATTTCGGACTTTAAAAAAAACTACCATCAACTCCAATGTAAATGTACTTTGCTTTTTACCTTCAATATAACGAATGTTCGTAACGGAACGAAAATACGTCAACGGAATTTCGTATTTCCTGCCTGTGTATTGTAATGCATCAGCAGCAGCGGATCCGTATCTCGGATTAAAAAAAAATCTTGTCATGTTGTTCAACCTCATTTACAGGGGTAATATTAGTTCCTGTTTCAAAGAAATTTGGATCCGAAATTCGTTAACGGAATTTCGTATTTCGGATATAATTCGGAAACTGCCATTTGGATTTCGGATGCTCCGAAATTCGGAATTTCAGGAAAATTCGTACGCATTTCGATTCGTAACGAAACGAATCGCACATGTCTACTGCTGAACCCTGCGTTATTTACTACTGACCTCTGCACTCTGTAACACTTACTACTAACCCCTAAATACTGTGTTCCTACCGAACTCTGTGCTACCTGCTACTGAGCTCTGAACTCTGTGTTACTTCCTACTGTCCCCTACTCATGAACCTTGTACTCCATGTGTTACCTACTGATGTCCCCTGTACTCAATGCATTACCTACTGATGACCCCTATACTCCATGCATTACCTACTTATTACCCTTTTACTCCATGTGTTTCCTACTCATGATCCCTGTACTCCATGCGTTTCTTGCTCCTAACCTCTTTATTTCATGTATTGCCTACTCCTGACCCCTGTTCTCCATATGTTACAAACTCCTGATTCCTGCTCTCTGCACACCTGTGTTTTGTGTTACACACTCTTGATCCCTGAACTTCATGCTTTATGCACTCTTGACCCCTGAAGTACACACTCCTGAGCCATGCACTCTGTGCATTACAAATGCTCAGAGTAGGCTCAGAATTTATTTAACCATACATCTTCAGCAGCTCCCACTGTTAGCGCATATTGATCACATCCATGATTTGCTGCCTGCTGCACTGCATTATTTCACTCCTTATGGTGCCCAGGACACTTTGTCTGTGACCAACTCTTTCAGGCATGCTAAAGATGGGTGTGTGATTGTGTGGGTGTGGCTACAAATGGGGGTGTGGTTACAAGTGGGCATGGTCAGTAGGGTGCCCCCGAATTTCATTTTGAAAATCTGGTACCCTTATTTTACATGGAAAACCTATGCATATGGACGGATATTACCTAAGCACGTGCAGGGAGAAAGTTGAAAACTCTTTATATCTTTCCAAACTAATCATTTATTACCAAGATGGCCGCATCCACACAGAGACACTGTGCAGAACAGGGCATGGTTAGTCAGTAACAGGAAAAGATCAGCTACGGGGAGACCACGGGCTATACTGGTGACTACGCGATTGTCCTCTTCCTAAATGTTTTGGTCACAGCTTTCAGAGTTTAGATCCTCCTAAACCTGCCTCCTTCTTTAAAGCAATTCTGGGATTTGTAAATAGTAAAGAGAAAAGAGTCCTATTTTGCGGGCAACATTTTTCAATGTATGTAGGTGGAGATAGAGTTGCATTAAAGCTAAACATCAGGCAGATATAAAAGGTACAAATAGATGCAGCCCTGTAATCATAACTGTATTATTAAATGTATTCCTCTAAAAGCAGTGTAGGTACCTCAGTTTGACCTGGCATCAGCCTCTTTCAGTCTACTGTACTGCAGAGCTCAGAGAGGGAAAGGCAGAAGAAACACAAAGCAGCATGCTGGTAGGAAGAGAAAGCAGAGTGACAGAGAGATGAGCTCATCAATGTGCTGCTTGCCCAATGCCCAAAGAACAATGCTTGCAATGAAAGAATAACTGAGAAGAAGGATCAGATGCAGAGAGAAAATAACTGGGATGGTGCTGAACACCGACTGGGATTCACATTGGAGCCTGCAAAGCACAGAAAGGGGGCCCCATGAGGGAAAATCACTCCGAGCTACGTCACTTATACGTCCCTTTCATAAATCACCTGCCCTAAAAAATGAATGGAAGATTTTGCCGAACTTTTGCAGTAAAATTACCAATTTCACTGAAATTTTGGCCTTGTATTTTGCATGTGGACTACTTAGGTGAAATTTTCTTTCTTTAATAATAAAAATAAACCCCCGTTAATGCTAACCCTAAATCTAACTGTAACACTAACCCTAACTCGAACTTTAACACCAATCTTAATGCAAACTCTAACATTAATGCTAACCCTAAATCTAACTGTAACACTAACCCTAACTCGAACTTTAACACCAATCTTAATGCAAACTCTAAAATCAATGCTAACTCTAAATCTAACTGTAACACGTCACTAACCCTAACTCAAACTTTACCGCCAATCTTAATGCAAACTCTAACATCAATGCTAACCCTAAATCTAACTGTAACACTAACCCTAACTTGAACTTTAACACCAATCTTAATGCAAACTCTAACATCAATACTAACCCTAAATCTAACTGTAATACTAACCCTAACTCAAACTTTACCGCCAATCTTAATGCAAACTCTAAAGTCAATGTTACCCCTAAATCTAACCCTAGCCCTATGGCTAACCTTTACTTTAACTGTAACTTTACCAACAACCCCATCCCTAACCCCAACTTAGTCTTCTAACAAAGCCATTGATCATAATGTCAGCGCTGACTTTGTTGATAAGCAAAGCCATGTGAGTGTTGTGGTTCTGTTTATCAACCAAGCTGGCAATGTATTTTGTTTCTAGATACACATCCAGTGAAATGTTTCAATAAAAGTGGTTTCAAAAATATTTCAAAATGGGGAAATATGGAAAACATTTTTTTAAAATGCAAATGTTTTCTCTAACCTTAGCAGCCAATTGAAGCCCACTGTACCCTTCCAACTTCACAAAGCCACCTTAATTTCGCCTTCCTAGGCAGATTCCTACCTGTTTCTTAAAGGAGAACTATGAGGCGAGTGAAAATCACTCAGCCTCATAGTTCTAGCCGACCTGTGACAATGAAACTGTCACAGGTCGGCTCAATAGATCGGGAAGTGAGAGAACACATAGCGTCGCTCGCTCACTTCTCAATCTATCCCTGCAGAGAGCCGTGGCTGTCACTCACGGCTCCCTGCAGGGATTACCCCTCCCCTGTTCGATCCTCCAGCGCTGACAGGTGGAACGACCGGGGGAGGGGGCGGGTACAGCTGGCTCTGGCTCTGCCTCTAGATAGGCAAAGCCAGCTGTCGATCACGCAGCTGGGTGGATCTCGACAGTAATGTCGGGATATGTCCCGGCTGCGGCATCTCAGTATACCGCAAGCTGTAGCTCGCGGTATACTGAGCTTTGGGTGACGGGAGGACGCTAGTTTGTGTTCTCCCGTTACCCTTAGGAGAACTATGGGGAAAAGCCCTGACCCCATAGTTCTCCTTTAACAAAAAGCTGT